GATGACGATCGTAGGTGAGGCATTCTCGGAATATTCAGGCTAAAATTTTTCCGACCGATGGCCGATATCAAGAGAACTGTTGATAACTGGAAAAAATTATTCAATTCTTGATGTTTACCATCTAATTTTATGGACGAATATTGAGTTTCAGCTCTCTAACTCTTATTGTCACAGAATGCGACAAGTTTAAAAGAAAATCGAACTTGACCAGTTTTACGGAAACAAAAAAAGTAAGATCTCAAAATAAGTGCATCTCCAGGTTCCTCATCAAAAGTTACATCGTCAAAATGAGTTTCACGAATAAAGCTGCTTCCATAACTGAGCAATTGGCGATCGAAGTTGTAACTTTGACCTCGATTTTCTCAAAAACTGTTTATTTAACGAATTATTTAATAGTGTCAATGAATGCAGTTTTTCATGTTCCTAAAAACTCACCTAGTCTCAACTTTCCACTCAAATGTTTGAGCCTTTGGCCGAACTCTTTGCATTGCATTTGCAATCTTAACCAGAAAATTGCTTTATTTGCCAAGAAATGGGTTGAGATGGGTTTTGCTTGTTACATTAGTTGTTTGCTCGTGCATTTACAACCCAAATATCTTGCCCAAATGCGCTAATGAAAATTTTTTAAACCGAATCGAATGATTAATTAGTAATGGTACAAATTGGTGCAAGAATGATGACTGTAAGTGAGACCATTCTCGAAATATTGAGGCTAAAAGTTTTGCGTCCGATAGCCGATATCAAGAGAACTGTTGACAACTTGCAAAAATTATTCAATCTTTGATGTTTCTCATCAAGTTTTATGGACGAATATCAAGTTTCAACAGTTAAACTCTTATAGTCACAGAATGCGACCTGTTTAAAAGAAAATCGAACTAATATGCTTTACAGAAAAAGAAAAGTTATATTTCTCAAAATAATTACATTTCCTGGTTGATAGTCAAAAGATACATCAGGTAAATGAGTTTCACTAAAAAATCTGATTCCATAATTGTACAAAAAGCTTTGCAAGTTTCAACTTCGAACCCGATTTTATCGAAAACTGTTCACCAGAGAAATCTTTCAATAGCACAAATAGATTCATTTTTCATTTGCCTACAAACCTATCGAGTCTAAATTTGCAAGAAATTGAGTTTAAACCGTTTTAGCCCATTTGTTCATAAATGAAAATTATTAAACTCAAAGACTAATCGTTGATTTATTTTGCACGAAGAGCTTGCTCTTTGCACTGCAATTCAACCATCTTTTTGTTACATTACAAATTAATCAACATTTCAAGTTGAAATGATGAAGGTCAGTTGTCTGTGCTGGTCAGTTGAAAACTGAAAGCAACTCCTTGAAAGTGTACGAAGACGTTTATTAGTAAATTAAATTTATAAATATTTCAATTTGCAAATGAAAGACACTTTATTAGTTTTCTGATTTATGATTTAACATATTAGTTTTGATGGTGAACCTTTCTGGTAGCAATTTGTAGACAATTTATGTATCAGTTTTGTACTTAAATGATTACACGAACCTCATCAGAATAACATTGGTTTACAATAAATCCTTTAGAGATATTTTCCCTCAACATTGTTTATTAATGGCATCTATTAATAATAATGGGCTGAAGAGACAATCAAATCTATTTGAGTTCATTAAATCTAATTTAATCTTATTTGTTGCCTACAAGTTCATCTATTAATAACGTTAAGTCTGTAATCAAGGTTAACGCGCAACAAAAAAAGGTACTAAGGTAAGTCCAAAGCTTTAGTAATATTGAAACAATAATCAATAATCAATGAAATGAAAATGGTTCAATAGTCGGTCTAAATAGATTTAATCTTCATCATCATGTAATTGATTAAAAGACAATCCGAAACAATATCGGATAATGATGATGAGACAGTTGTTAACCTTGTTTCAAGAGACAACCAAATCTATTATTAAATTATGGATTTAAGACGAAACATTGTCTTATTCAGTTGCTTTTGTTTCAACTGATTACAGGGGAATCTCGTGAGATTCTGATGAGTATAATGATGATAATAGGTTATTAAGTATTGGATTTTCATTTGTCTTTATTTTGAGTGTTTAACCGATTGACCACCAAGAGTTATGATTGAAATATGCTTTGATTGAAGATCAACTTGTTTCATCTTATTTGTTGATTTGCATCAATTTGTGATCGCTTTCATTATTTCATCTAATTGATTGTTCATTTAGCTTATAGCAAGGATTTGTCAAGGCTTGACCTCAACAATCTCAAGTGTTTTGTTTCAAGTGTTGATTGACTTGCCTTCATTTGCAATCCTTTTATAGCTTGACCTCAATTGTGAATATAATCAATTACATGGTAAACTGAGGCAACAGAGGGTTGCATGAAATCACAATTTATTAACAGAAACAATCTTACCATTTCAATGGCAAAAGCTATCAGATATTGGATGGATATTGATAATAATCGTATGTAATTTCATGGTTTCACTTAATGTTAGGTTAACACTCAATCTTGCAACGATCAATTGAATATGATTGTAAAACACGTAAAGTGTCTGGCCTTTATTGGTTGGAGGCAAAAATTTTACCTAAAAATGAAAATATAGAATTAATTTTCATTGAAATTTACTTTCTCTAACCATTTTAACCCACAAAAACAGTATGTAAAGAAGTCGATCACATCATCAAATCACTAATTGAAAGGTCGAATCAAAATTAAATCAAATGCGAGAATAGTCTATGATTAGTTGCAGTTTTTATTGTCAATAACTTTTTAACAAGACTCTAATTTTGAATTTCTCAACACAAGATGACGCTTCTTGTTGTGAAAAAATGTATTTATGGTTCAATTAGATGGCACTAGATGTCACTGGCTCTTCAATCTTTTCAGCTTTGGTCAACTTTTTTGATTGAAAAGTTTTATGAAGAAAGTTTTGCACAAAAAGTTATTTATAAATCAATTCAGAACTGAAAAACGTGGAAATATCTTATTTTTTATGATCGTTTTTGGGTGAAGAATAATTAAAGCTAAATGTGATTATTTTATGGATTTTAAATAATTTTCGTTCAAAAAAACATCAGTAGATGTAGATCAATTCAAATGTAATTCTGGTGCAAAAATATAATCAACCTAAAATTATTTCAGTTATTTTTGATTTAATTTGATCAAATTGAGATTAATAAACACTTGACTCAATGTCAACTTGACCCAACGAGACACATAAACACATGATTAACTTTTAATATTCAGTGATGCTATCAAATAGTTCAATATTTAAATGAGTTATGTGAAGCTGTCGAATAACTTTTACATGATGGAATATAACTTTATAAATTGGAAATCCTTCTAATAAATGGACAAATCTAGTCGAGAAAAGGATCGACCGTTGTTATAATTTGTATCATAAATGGAAATTATCGAATAATTGAATATCTGAAAAATAGAGTCAAAAAACTCAAAGTCCATTAGATTTGTAACAAACTAATTATATTGATTTTATAATTAAAAGATGAATTCAATTAAAATACTTGAAAATGCCATTTACTTTCACTGATGATGTTAAAAGAAGGGAAAAGGCAATATCAATAAATAATGAGAATAAATGAAAGGAAAATGAAAAAGACGAAATAAATGAATCAAAGCAATAAATTATCTGATTTTTCATGGCTAAGGCAAGCCGAGCTGAATGCTTCGACTGTCCATGAATGGACTTAGTAACGATAATCCTTTCTTGAGCAAGATAGATCATTCTGAAAATCAGTAAACAAAACATGAACATTGAAGATTTTAATATTAATTAGCAAAATTCCTACATTTTTCATTAAAGTTATATTAATTTCAAGGTTCTTTATTTCAATTGTGAAATAACATTTGAAAACATCAACAAATCAAGGAAAGTTAAGGTTACCTCTCATTAGGATCAACCGCTAATTCACTCAATCCATTTCAAACTCGGTACTGAGCTTGCAAACTGCAATAGCAATTGAGTTTCAATTAAGAAACTGGAATAAGTTATTCAGCTAAATTTAATCATCGATTGTTTACAATCCTCATCTCATTCAAAAAACAATATTTGTCTTAATTCAAAAAATATCGCCTAAGAACTCTGTATTTAGGTAAAGCTATTGACCATTTAACTTTTACTTTGACATTGATTTTGGTTTAACTGATCAAAGCGAAAAAATCAAATGTTTTGAAATTAAATTGTTGACAATTTAAGTGCAAAGATGAGCCTTTAACTACGAATGAGTTGAGAAATGGAAAGCAATTGCGAATAGATTTAGAGAAACATTGAATTCAAATCAAAGTCAAACAATATTTTAGTTATAATTAGAATCAATTTTGGTCACCAATTAAAGTCTTGAGATTAATCAAAACACCGAAAGTTGAATAAATGTCAAAATGATGTTTTGTAACAAAAAAGGTTTGGCCTGAAGGGTTCAATTTTGTTGATAATCATGAGCCTTAAAAAACCATCTACGTGATGTTAATCATGGTTTCTTTAAATAAACTGGATTCTAATGATGATCAGCAAGCAATGTTTACGAGGAAGTTTTTTTTCTTGAACAAATGAACTGAACAAAAAGGGTTTCTCACTCACTTTTTCATGGTCACAGAGTTTTACTGTCGTCACTATATTTTGAAATATGTAATATGCTCAGTCAATGCTGTAATACTGATAGTTACATTAATCACGTAATAGTGAAAGTAGATAATCAGTTTTGATTTTTGTCACTGATTACATGAATTACAAGGAATCAACTTCAAATGTTCAAATCTTCAATCTAATATTAAGAGGTTGATAAACGATGGTAACAGCAAAAGTAAAATGATAATCATAATGATAGTTTTAAAACCATAAAAGCTTTAAGCGTTTTTTCACCATAATTTCATGATTCCATTGTGATTTATCTCTTTATTTTCTCGTCAAACTGTAAACATGTTTGGTCAAAAATCAAGTAAATGATTTGTTTGTGACTAATGGTCAGTAATTTGACGAGATTCAAGGATTTTTTTGGGATTTTCCAGAAGTAATTTAATGGCCATCTTAGTGCAGTTAGCAAAGGGTCAATAATTGCAGTTTAATCAACAAATGGCTTTGTATTTTCACGATAAAACTAACTAGCAATTTGACAATTAACCAAAGTCGAGTCACTGGTTAACCATTCATTTCAATCATATTCACACTTGAGGTGTTCATCGACTGATTGATTCTTTATTGTAATTGTTTTGCTTATCAATTTGATTGTCTTTTAATGATTCAATTTCATAGCTTTCATAACATTTCATTGATCATTGTTTACCAACCTGGGTTTGGGTTACTTTGGGTTACTCGTTTTGGTTGTCTTTCTGTCTCTTGTCAGTCTTTAGGTAACAGTTTTTGCTTCATTTAACATATTTAGTTTTGATTATTACATTGAATCACTTAATTATTATTGAATTGATAATTGTTTTAGTTGATTTACTTTGTCATCTTAATTGTTGATCAAAAGAGGCAAAAATGGGTTTTGTTTTGAAGCTTCAAGTCAAGCCTAACTTGATATTGAAAATTTTATTGGTTAACCAATTTGAGGAACCTTTTAATGGTATAAAAATCTGGTTAACCAGAAAATAGTTTAACCAGTTTAACCTCAATCATTTCACGTAAATCTGTAATACTTTGAATGTTTAGCTAATTGATAAATGATATACGATAATGATCAGATTGTAAACATTCAACCCTGAAAAATGTTACATTTGAATCTACTCCTGAAATTGTTTCTTTATTACCAGATATTAACAATTATTGACAATTGAAAATTAAACTAAACTAGACTATCAATTATCCTTGCCATTTGAATAATTTGATTTGGTATTGAAAGTAATTTCAAAAGCGTATTGTAAAGGTTAACTAATTGGATTGTCAATCAATTTTAAGTTAATTAGTTACAATTTGAATATGAATATTTTGATACTGATTGCACTTAATACAGTTAATATGTGAACAATGAATTTAACACTAATTATTCTGGTAAACAATATGAGGATAAATTGTCTAATCTAAATTGACTTCAATTTCCTTCTTTACATTTGAATTGATTTTGTCTGGGAATTGCATTAATGAACATAATGATAGACAGGTTGAACGATTGAATACACTTGAACAAGTAAAGAATTGAAATCTTTAATAATAATCTTTGATTTAAATTATAAACATGATTAAGGCAAATATTACAGAATTGATTGTAAATGAGTAAAAATGATTGTTTCCAAGAAAAGGCACTCATTATGCAGATAATACAATCTCAATTGTATCTGGTTGAGATAATTGTATTACCATGAGATTATCAGCGATTTTCAATGATTTACTGGCTGAGTCAACTTTTACTTTTCACCAATCAACAGATTTATCCACAAGTTATGATACAAGTTGTAAGCTCGTTTGGGTTAACCATTGGGTTAATTTACAAGGAAAAGGGTCACTTCATGAATTTGTTGTGAAATTGTGTGGTCAATTTTTTCACCCTCATTGGATTAATGGTGATCTTTTCAGGATCTGCAATGTGAACCTTAACAGCAACAGCTCTTTTGATTAAGTAAAGCATGTTGACAATGAAATGCCAACAAGCCAATACATTTCTGATTATCGAGACAACTCGACCCTTTTCATGGTTTGCATTGACGTACTCTTCGGTGAAATTGTCCTCTTCACTTTCGGCTGATTGGGTTAAAGATGAAGATGATGGTGATGGTGAAGTTTGTGTTATCACTCGCTTGCCATCCTTTAAATCACTAAGAACAGCCATAAATCCTATGAAAAGACCGTAAAATGTTTGTAAACTTGATTGTAACGTTGAAATGGCTTCATCCACTGTTAACATATCGATTGGTGTGAAAATAAGAGTTAAACTGGTCAAGTTAATTGTGATGGTTGTTATTGGTTTATATGTAAATTGTGGGGCAACAAGGAGTCACTGGCTTTGATAGGCAGCCAATTTGGTGGGTTGAAGAGCTGATCAATTTAAATCAATTTGAAGGGGAAAAAGAAAGCAAAACCGTGAACAAAAGATTATCAGGTGAAAACAATATGTTGATCTGGCAGTGATGATGGATTGAAAGGATTGTGAGTAACGCTCATCATGTTATCGGTTCACCATGTAAAATGAGTAATGATCATATAAATGTGACTCTTTTTCAGGTTGTTGTATCTGGATGAGAGAGGGAGGGAAAGAGTTGATTAAAAGTATAGAGAGAGTTGAAGGGAAATACCTGGTAAGAGAGAAAGAGAAAGGTATAAAGAAAGTATTACTTTCTAATTTTATAGACAGGCTTCATTGAACAAGGAAAGTGATCGGGCTTGAATAACGAAGCTGCAGCTTGTTTCATCAAAACCAGTTATCCTTGACGGTCATTCAGTTTGCCCTCAGAGTCTTTTCAGATGCCTTTGTTTATCATCCATTTCAACCACGAGTTGCTTAATATTATCGAGAGTATCCGTGAAATATCATTTCATTCAGGTTAAAATCAAAATTCTGAACTAAAAAATTGGTTTCCCTTTTTTTACTTTACTTTCATCATTATTCACTTTTAACCCATTTTAACCCGTTTTACCTGTCGATTGTAAAATCAAGAGGAATGCGGTTTACCTCTCTGGCAGTTCATCATGTATTTACTATGTTTAGGCAGTTGAAACTGTTGCTTGAAATTTCATTTAATTTCGTTAAATCTCAACTTGACATTTGAAGTCTTGGTGAAGATCAAAATTTCAAAGCATTTTGTCCGTTCGATCAATAAAGATCGTTGGTAAACAACATTGTTTTTCCCGTATTATTATGTTATTATTCCTGAGGCAAACAGGAGAGAAAATAATGACAAAGAAAGTGTTCGATTGCCTGATAATAAATTATTATTTTCTTTGTATTGTTAATTGTTGGTGCAATAAAAAAACCATTAAAATCAAGCATTGTTTTGTCATTCAATTTGTCAGAGGAAGGCAGAGAATCTTCAGAGAATCTTCTTGGTTGTATTCAAACCCGAATGGTAAGTTTTCATGGGTCAGAATTTTCCTGTCGAAGTTAGTTTATTCGTTCATTGGACTGAGCAATCAGTATTGATTTATTTACCAATTTGTAACGTTGGACCATAAAATTGTTTGAACATAACGCAACGTTAGGTCCATCGACTCAGAATGTATCCAAAACTTATAATTTTCATTGGTAAAGATTCAGATCTACTGTAAATAAAAGATACGGAAGATATTAGAATAATTATTATAATAAAATTCGTTCTATCAATACAAATCATTGAACTTTTATTGTGAATAAAATAAATTGAAGTTAAATGGAAACGTAGCTCTAATGGTCTTTTTTATCCATAGATGTCACTAACCTTTTGAATACTGCACTTTGTATTTTTATTGGTCATTTTTTATCTTATGGTTATTTATGTAAATTGAGTTCAATTACATCTAACAGATTTATTTTGAAAGAAAACACAATTCCAAGTCTTAATTTAACTGTAATATAATTGTGATCACCTAAAGAAAGGATTTTCCTATTAATGTTTCCCTACAATTTGAATCAACAAGTGAAATTAACAACTTTTGTATCAAAAGAAAGCCTCGCGATTGGTATGTTGTATGTTTTATCATCAATTTCAACCCTTATTTTCTTTGATTATTTTATTGATTCTTTCTTTTACTGATTTTTTGTATTACAGAACTGTTTACAGGGGAAAAACCTGCAATACAATAAACTGAGTATGAAAAGATATTTCGCTTAACTGTAAATGGCTTCTTGCCTGAAAGCATGGTAATTTGTTTTTTACATTCTTATTTTACTTATGGATAATTCACTAATTTATACAAGTACAATAATACAATGAGTATATCTATACATGAACTTACTCTCAAATATCATTTATTTTTGTAAGGTCCAGCGTGCTGATCTCATGAAACTAAACCCACCTCATGCTTACACTTGAAATTGGTGCTGGATTTCCCATTGGATCGCAGCTCTTGAGTAAACTGGAATAACTTTTGGATTGATACTTTTTTGCCAACCCATTTCAATGTTGAAATATTATTTGGATACATTTGATAAGTGAAATGTTTATTAACCAATTTGACTGAGTCAAATTGCATTTAAAGGTGAACATACAATCGAAAAATGAACATTAATTTCACCACCAAGCAAGAGCAAGGCATGGTCACGAGACTGGATCAAGAAATAATATATTACAGGTGAACGCAAATGGCAATCTCCAGAGAAAGGGACAAGATGGAAAAGCAAAATAAAACAAGAATCATTACATTGAGTATTTATTCATAATTATCATTGATTTTGAGTTGTAAAACACGCAAAACAGTTGCATTACATTACAAAACGTATATGTAAATGTAATAATGGTAATTTTTTACCAATAATCAAAAGTCAATGGAGGCTCTGTATAGTGTCTCATACCAAAAATTAGCTAATCAGACCTGAAAAAGGGGCATTTTCATAGCATTACAACATTTACCTAATAACACATCAATTTTACATCTCATGTAGCAACTCCTATAATAACCAGATGATTTATTTATTGCATATTGGGTAATTTTGATTATCTGTTGATTATAATGATGAGCCTCCTACAGTCAATAATTAAATTTACCGACAGCTTAATTAGTCAAATTCAAGGTAAATTGAATTGAATTAGAAAGCCGGATAAATCAAATGATGAGGTAAGTCTACTATCTATTACAACAAGAGAAACTTATAATGTATAATTTTAACTCCAATTCATTTCTTTTTGTTTTTTATCGTTAGGTAAGCTTGATATATCTGGTTTTTTCATAAGATAGTTCAATATATGGATACATTGACAATTAAATGTGGAAGTGATCAATGATTCAGTTTGGTTTATCAAATATTAAACATTGGATATGCATCTTTGCGCGACTTGGACAAATAACCTCATTCAAATGGCTGAATTACTTTTACTGATATTAGTAGCCATTGATTGTTTTTGTTTTTGATTTTTCTCAAATCTCTATCATTATTTAGCAGATTAACAATTATATGTAATATAAAAGTTAAATCGAGAATCAGGGTTACAGGTTATAACCATGAATCTGAAACAGAGTCACGTAAAGTAGCTTAAATCAGCATCAACTTATAACCTCTTTAGTTATCATTTTTTTCATGTCCAGCAATTGAACTCCAGCAAAAAAAATTGGTTGCCTAAAAATGGGTTGTGGAGGAAGCGACGAAGACAAAGACAGAAATACTTAGCAATTTATTCAACTTTTACTGAATTTTCACTTTATTTGGTTTCTCTTATGGAGTAAACCTGACTGATTATAATAATTAACAGTTTAAACAATTCAACAATTTATTGATTGTAAATTATATTTTGCTTTTCAAATGAAAAATTGTCATTACTCTCTGTATCATTACAAATGTATAGAGATTTGATAGTTGCAAGTGTTGAACCAATTTTTGTTTTAATTTACTTTTTTGTTTTAAAGTCAAATGCATATATTTTCAATTAATTTGATTTCATCCTTACAGTGCATTTGATTACAATCATTAAGCAGGAAAGTGATCCGTTGAAGTATCAATTGTAACATTCACATTTAGCTTCCCATAATAATCAAATTAACTATGACTATAAACAGTGTTACTGTCTGGCGTCTTTTGTCAGTTGATATTTTATTTATGATAACAATTAATTTTGATGTGTGTGTGTGTCGGATAAAATAAATGTTTGATAATTTACACGAACAATCAAGAAAAAGCTATTAGCTTGAAAGCATTTGAATGCAGCGATGAATGAGTTAAGAGTATGATGGCGATGTGAAAAAAGAGGGCAAAAATGGGTTGACTTTTTTTCCAGGTTTCAGGTTAGCTTGGCTCAATTTATGGTCAAAGTGAAACTGGTAAACTTTGGGTCATTGAGAGTATTATCATGGAGAGTGTTGAAGTTAAATAAATAGTAAATTGTTTCTCGGTAATTTTAAAATTGATTGTAGGGAAAGCTGATGATTTGCCACCTGATTGAGCTTTTGCTCGATCCGTTGCATCGTATCCTTGATTTTTACCTCTTCCTCGAGCTCGTTTAATACGACTTATTATCTTTTCTGGTTCAGTCCATTTTCTCCTGCTTGTAATATTCAATTTATCTTCATTAAAATCATTGGTATAATTGGTATTATTATGATGACTATGAGTACTATTATTGTTGATATCACTTGTTTGGTTGGTTTTTTGATCAGCGTTTGTTGTTGCATTGGAAACAAAGTCATTGGTTGAAGTCAATGTTATATTAACAGTGTTGTTGTTAATCTTAATATCACCTTCAATTGATCCATCGGCTGTTAAATTGTTTAACAAATAATCATTAACTCGGGACACTTTTGAAGAAACTGTTGTTGTTGATGATATTATTGTCTTCAATGATGTAAATAATGTCGCTGGCGTAGTTGTTTTATTGTCTGACGTACCTGAGCAACTTATCACTTGCCAAAGGATGATAATGATCAGCTGTCGATACAAAAGGTTGACTTGTCTCATTTTCAAGACGATTGACAATCCAATTGATTAATTATGATGGTAATTGAAAAGTAATTAAACACACAAACAGTTAACAGTCACAGGCTTCAAATTAATCAAGTAGATCACAATAAACGAATGTTTCTCTTCTGGTTTAGATGTTAAAGATGTAAAACAATGTGTAAACAGATTAAATGGGTAAATAATTGTTAATTTGATGATTGAATATTGTTGACTATTGATAGATTGATAGATTGATGGTGAAAATAAAACTGACCAACCGATAGTTGAATATCAAGTTGGAAGGATTGAAATGTTAATGAAAGCTGTGGTTGCGTGTAGGCATCAACAGACAAACCTAAGAACCCAAAAATATGTAGATTGTGATGATGGCACCAATAAGAGTTGATTACAAGATGATAATTATAATAGGATGATAATAATATACTGATGACAATATGATGATTTCAAAGTGAACACAAAAATAATGTGAGAAGACTAGGAATAGAAAAGGGTAAAGATGATATTTAAAACAAAAAGCCAAAACAATGTTTACTTGGCTCGTTTTTTGAAAAGCAAGTCAACCGCACAACAGCGACCAGAACAATTTAATTCAGAGAAATATCAATATTTTTTCTCTATTCTTCTCACCATGATCATCCTGGTCATCATCATTTCTCTCTATTATCTATGAATAACTCTCATTACAATAAAATGATCATAATCATTATTATAAACAACAACAAAAATAACAACAAAACAATGGGAAAAAGTAATATTAGGAGTAAAGAGTAAAACGAAAAAGGTAGAAATGAAAAGCAATTAAAATGGTTAATTCCTGGATGATAGTCATGTTCATGATGATGATGACAATGAATATGATGATACCTTTAAACAGATCATCAAAGATAATATTGAAATATATCTTTTTTTTTGGCTAAAAAAGAGACAGAAAAAGAGAGTCAAATCGTGTTGTTCAGGCAACTGTGATTGTGCGGCCAAACAATATTGTTGTTGGTCAGTTGCACTTTTTTTATACCTGTCTTTCCCATTTACCTTATTTTTTGTTACCCACCCAGTGTTGATACTGACCATTTTATCCGCTCGGTTTCACTCAACTGGATAAATGAGTGAGACAAAGATGAATCTTCCATGAAGGGAAAAGGCAAGATTACTGAAAAGGAGTTGAAATCTGGGAATCAAACTGTTCAACTAAAATAGTGGGATTCAAAAAAAAAATGGTTCAGATGACCTTGCTCTCATGAAGCTATTTCATCCTGAATAAGGGTGATTCTGGTTCCTCTCCTCTGTGCAGGAATAATATAGCGTGAACAGCATTTCCTTGGTGACCAAATAAAAGGTTCATCATCATTACCTTTCAGGTTCTCTGTCTATCTTTCAATGGGTAGTTTACTGGCCTTGATGCTTGTTGATATTTCTGGTATTTTTGGGTTCAGCATAAAATTAACGATTACGACACTGAATTGTTACCATTTATCTATGTAAACAATCAAGACTAATAAACTGTTTAAGGCATGATAATGAATCTCTGGACCGAAAGACTGAACGACATTAATTTGAGGTTGGTTTAGGTCACCAATCGTCTAAACGTAAGTCCGTACATAAGATTAGAGCATTTTGAAGTTTTGAGTGAATACAAATTGAAGTAACTCTTGGACTTGTCTTTGAGGGATAAGCAAATTGTATTGAAACGGTGATGGAACCAGAATTGATCTTATTCAAAGAGCTCTTCAAGATTGATTGGTCAAGTCAAATTGTATTTATAATGGTGAACATCCATCGAAAAATGAACATTAATTTTACCAGCGAGAGTCACGAGACTAGAAATAATATATTGCAGGGAAATTCAGGTTACTTTTTAACCAGGATTTTGCCTTCTTATTGTTATTTCAAACAAGTTAAATTATTTGATTGTTTTTTTCAGTGTTTTATATGGTTCCATGTGAGTTGTTGTTTAAGTTCAATAATTATAGTAAATGATTTAAACATTTTTTGCAGATCGATAATGTTGCCCTTTTTGTTTATAAAGGCTGTTGTTTTGTTACTGTTTGGTGGTTTATTGTTTAAAGCTTGAAACTGGTCTCATGAGCTTGGTCTCATATTGATGGTTATTTGGGTTTTATTGATCAAAATTATTGACAACAACAGCATACATAGATGGTCATGCTGATGATTTTGTTTCAAATTAATACACACCTTGATGATAATTGTTGATTATGCTTAAAGGTAAAAAGGTTAAAAGCTAAATTAACTTGCATTTTCAATTTTTTGGCTTCATCGTATTTATGTTTTGTTTTGTTTTCCTGTGTGTGCTATTTCAATCAACTTTTTTTCGCCTTTTATTATTACTCTTATCTTTAGGAACAATTAGTATTGAACATGAATTGAAGGCTATTAATAGATTATCATTATTTCAGGGTTCAATTGATGATGCTTAACTCTCAAAAGGTGAATATTTATGGTCATCTAATACACTAATCTGAATACATTAATTCACCCATTCCTATCAAACCAGGTAAAGTTTTTTTTCTTGATTTCCAGCTTTTCTTTCTTTCTATCGTTTTAATTATTATTTAATAACATTACTTTGGCTTTATACTTCATCTCATTGTTTTAATTGATGAACAAGATCAATTCAATATAAAGGTAGTTGATGATTGAAACAATGACAATATCAAAAAGCATCCAAGTGTAACTAAATCAATGGTTACATCTGTAACCTTTACCTTACAATTGGTCAGATGGAGGGTTAATTAATTAAATCAAGCAGTTTCATTTAAATATCTTAAGATTTGATCATTCAAATGGTTGATTGTCTTGAAGTCATAAGTAAATTAAAAGCTGGGCCGTTAATTTTAATGAGTAAGTTTATTTTTGACTTTGCATTTGCAACATTTATTGATTGAATCAATAACAACTGTAATTTTGCCTGATTATTATTAATTAAGGCAAATTTTTATTATATATTCGTTAATAACAATGGGTCTATTTCATTTGACTATTTGCTGAGTAAATTGTTTTGATATTAAAATGATTTATCTTTGAATAACGCGCTTCCAACTTTTCAATGTGGTTATTTTATTAACAGCTGATGTAAACTCGTGTTGTTTTGTAATAAATAGTGTTCTGTTAGTGATCAACTTTCCGGGTGATAATTCAATGAAAATTGCCTTCAGATTATTTAAGTGTGAATTAGTTTTAGGTAAATTCATTAGAATGTCTTCAACTTGTAGTGATCATTCGCCCTCTTCGGGTTCGACTGCTCTTCTCCAAATGGATTCTGAGTCGGATAAAATATCTTTACAATTTACTTATCGTCGTAATTCAACCGAAAAGCTTTTCTCTTTATATCGGTCTAAAGATGAAACATTATCGGTAGCATTTTCCAGGCTACGTCTTAATTTGGACAAATTTATTAATCCGAATGCCAAAAGGACGAAGTGGACCAAGCAGGCTAAAAAAGTCAAGCCTGATCCATCAACTTTAATTGACGATCAGGCTTCGCCAGATGGACTCATAGAAATTAAACTTTACAACGAAGGTAAATTGGTTGATGCAAACACTCCTCATTATCAAGCCTGGTCAGACAATTCAATTTTAATGGTTGGAGATCAAAGTTACAAGATATTGCTAAATAGCCCTACGGTGGAAACGTTGAAATTATCCAATAAGCTGTTGACAAATTTTATGGTTTATCCAGTTATCGGACTGAAATATGCGACAATTGATGATTGTGCCTTTTCTTGGTATCGCGTCAAATCTTCGTAAGTAATGAAATATATTTTTGCCACAAATTCCAACCAAATAATCTAACTATCTTGTTAATTGCAGGAATAAAGAATTCATCTCCAATTGCTATATCTATTATCCTACCGAACAAGATCTTGATCACCAATTAATGGTGAAAGTAACACCCAAAGATGGTAAATCAGTAGGCCTGGAAAACTCATTCATTTCAGAAGATCTAGTTGAACATGGACCGACTGATTGTCCTTTCCAGGATAGACATAAACTGACGTCAACTAAAACAAACCCAGGATCATTTCGCATCGTTACATACAATATACTAGCGGATTATTATACGAGTATGAAAACAACGCCTACTGAAATCTTCCCTTATTGTGCTCCAGAATTTCTCAAATTTAGTTATCGGAAACCTTTATTGTTACAAGAAATAATTGGTTATAATGCTGATATAATTTGCTTACAAGAAGTAGACAGAAAATTTTTCGCCAATGAATTAACTCATGTTCTATGTCAGTTTGACGATATGGAAGGATTTTTCATTCGTAAAGCTGGCCGTGAAATTCAAGTTCCTGAAGGAGTTGTGATTTACTTTCGTAAAAGCAAATTTAAACGATTAGAAGATTCAAGCCACGATTTAACTGATCTTTGTTTAAATGATAAAAACTTGGATCATTTTGCAAAAGCTGTTCAACGTAATAACAAATTAGTTGAAAGACTGTCTGATCGTAATACAATTGTTCAATATGTTTTACTGGAAAGCTTTGATATTCCTGGAAAAGGTTTACTGATTGTAAATACTCATCTCTATTCAAACCCTGATGCTGATCATATTAGACTTCTCCAAGGTGCAATTATAGTTGTTCATATAGAAAACATGATTCGTGAATATTCATTGAAGGTATTTAGCCGCATTTGTATTTTAAAATAAAACATCTAATCTCATTTACTCTATTTTAATCAACAAGTATCCACATCTAAAAATATCACCCATCTTTACCGGAGACTTCAACAGTGATCCAGCTAATGGTGTTTATAAACTGTACACAAATGGTTACATTGGATCTGATTATATTGACTGGAAAAGTGGTTAGTTAAATTCACAATATCATTATATTGTTATCAATTAAAAACCTTTCTGATGATAATCTATTTGATTTTACAGTTGCTGATGAAGCAATCGAAGGACTGGAAGTCAAGCATTCCTTAAAACTAACAAGTGCTTATGGTGCTCCTGAGTTTACTAATTTTACTGTAAATTATGTTGGTTGTTTGGATTACATTTTCTTCGATAATCAAAGTATCGAAATAGATTCTCTGGTTCCTTTACCATCTCGAGATATCGTTTCTGCTCATAAAGCCATTCCAAGTTCGGTCTTTCCATCAGATCATCTTGCTCTAGTTACTGTTTTAAAATGGAAATAACAAAACTAAAAGCTTAGTCAATGTAAATAAATTAAATTAAATTTACCTCGCCCATTGAGTGAGATAACGGAATCATGATTTTCAAGGTTGTGTCAAAAATTTATTATCATTTTAGTATGAAACTGTATTCATTTTTTTCGGAAATTGAATTTTATTTAAACGACAATTAGTTATAAAGCAGATTAGTTCAAAAGTCCTAAAAAAATTATCATAGATATTTTTTGAAGCATTTTGTCCTCTCATTAACATAAATAAATACTAAATAAACTGACAATTATGAATGATTTTTATGTTCTCGTAATATTTTTTGAAATCTGATAAATTGTCAAAAAAGATCAGAGATGATTGCAATTGTTAGACAAAACTATTCAGTTTTGATATTTCTTTTCGGATTGAATGTTATATGTATTAGTATATACTATCAAATGTACTGTTTAAACTTTGTTCTTTCATGTATCCATCAAATATTGAGTTAAAGTCGCAAAATGTTATTACACGTATAAACTTGGGCGATGAAAAAGTATTTTCACTCATAATGAATTGGTAAGATGATATCCTATGGAAGGGGAGTTAGAAAAAGGAATTAAATCACAAGAACAAAGTTTTAACAACTTTTTTGTCCCATCGTTTCATCTTCTCATCTGATTACTTTTAAAGGACATTTCTTGCTGGTGATTAATTTCTTTCACTCTTCTCCGGTAAACAAATTTTAGCATTTTAACTAGATAATTTAATAAGTCTAGATGCATTAATCTCCTAGAGATGGGAAATCCTGTTCATCATTAATCTTGGGTATTCCACCTTTTGGCTTTCTAATTGTTGATGCCATCGAAACAGGACTAAGTGATCGAGGCTTATTAGAACTATCACCACCACCACCTCGAAGAGCTGGTGGAACGTATTTGGAACGCATCATCCCTGAAGAAGACTCAGTCTTGGAGGGTTCTTCCTTTTTAGGTTCCTCTTTAACATCTTTTTTTATCTCCTCTGGAGTCTTTACTTCTTCTACAGGTTGAGCTGGGGAAGCAGCACGCTTGTTCCAAGGTCCTGAATCATCCTTTGGTTTATCATTGCCATTTTCTTGAAGAGCTCGTTGTTGTTCCTTCATTTCTTCTTCTTTATCCCTGAAAGATTAAAAAATACAGTTAAAAATAATATCCAGATGACGATTTACCAATCAACAAAATCTTACCTAATATTTAAAGATTGAATCTTTAAACCACGATAATCTTTTTCCCTATCGTCTATGAAATCGTTCCATTCTTCATCATCCTGTGAAATAAATAGATACATAAATGCGTATTTAAAAGAAAGTCAGCTGGGTTTGAATAAGATTCACTATAGTTGATAAACAAATTAACACGTACGAATAAAGTTTCTTAATAAATAACTCACCTGTTCGAGAATTTTTAAATTAGATATCAAATCTGACCCTCGATGACCATACTCATCATCTCTAGATCGATCTTTTTTCCTATCATAGCGGGACCCTTGGACTTCTAATTGTTTTGCTAATTCTTCCGGGGTTAATTTGTTTTTCTTTCCTCGTCTGCTTTTGTCCTTTTTAGCAAAGAAATCATCTAAGCTAGAATCTGCCATATTTTCTTCAATTACGACGCTGGTGAACTGAGAACAAGTAGGAAATTCAGAAACTAATGTAAAAAATTTAAGGCACAAATTGACAGAAGAGATGAAGCACAATAGACCTGAGGCCAAAGAACTCAATTTAAGAAAAACAAATCACAAATGATGATGAACTGGAGTATAACCAAGACGATCAAAGGAAAAGGATGATGTGAAATAGTCGATAAATGTAGTCGATACTATCGATATTGGTATTTAAAAACCGATATCATCGATATAAAAAGTTTAAACTATCGATAATCTGAGGCCAATTCGCCCATTAACAACAATCCAAGTCTTAACCATGGGCAAGTTGACAAGATTTCATCCATCCATTAACCCATCTTAATCTGGTTAATCTTAATCTCTAGCTCTGGGCATTTTAACCAAGAAAATGATGGACATAGACATTTCAATATTTGCTTCAAACAATTGAAGCAGATTTAATTTGAACCATGCTATTTATTTTCAGCAAATTTATCTGAAAGACTGAAGATTAACTATTAGTCTTGAATATTTCATGATTCATGGCTTTTGTTTGTTATAAGAGTTGAAAATGAATCTGGTTATCTTGGTTGAAAGATCCTAAGCTTAAAGATTAAGATTAAAACATTGGACACTAGTGAAGTTGAACTAAACCCTGACTTTCGACTCATTTGCCATGTCAACGGTTCTGAAACTCAACTTTGGCTGGTCAGTTGAACTAAAACTTTCTACCTTTTAAAGCAGTTAACCTTGATGTTTAACCAATTCACTTACTTTCACTTTCACAACTATCTTTACCATCTTTACATCTCTTCCTCTTTTGAATTGGAGAACAAGTTTTCATCCCTATTTTTATCAATAAAGCATTTCAATCTATAAATTGATCACATCAATCAATCTAAGTTTAATTATAACAGGATATCCGGATGATAATGATAAACAAAAACACTGATTAAAACGATAATTACGAGCATCTTCAATCATGATTATAGCAAGAATGGTGAAAGTGAAATTGATACTGTAGGGTTTGTTTTCATTTTTTGTGTGTTACTCAGTTGCTTCGCATAATTTATTCAGATCAACTGTTTTTTTTCTAGCTGCAATTTCAACCATTGAATTTAAATGATGAAAAACATCAACTATGCAGTTCCAACAGTTGATTAGTATCAGTTATGAAAAGACACAACAACGATCACCTTAAAAGTAATCGAAAGCTTTCAAAAATCCTCGAAAATAATGGCCTCCAGAAATGCCGTTATCATTTGATGTAACAATTTATTTAGCTCATGGCAAGCCTGAAGCAGTCAACGAAAGTCGAGTCTATTTTTGATTATTCACTATTAGATGTCACATTAATGAATCCTTATTTTCAGCTTCAACAGAAGCATTAACATTGGATTTCCCAAATGATCAGAATTGATTAAATATAAATCATTTTCATCAAACGATTGTCTTGAAAATTGTTAGCCATTGGAGACATGTTTTACACTTGCTAATCGACTATCTTTACCGGCTAATCACTTGTTTACTGCCAAGAATTGGTTTATTGTTGTTTTTTGAGTTATCGTTTATTTTAATTTTGCTATTCGTTTTTAATTTCATTTTGTGCCTGATTAACTTCCGCTATTTTATTATAGCATTCATTCACAAATACTTGACTTCTGGTTCGATTTATATTTCTCATATTACCTTAAATAGATGACTACTCTTCATCAATTCAGGTTACAAATCAAACTGACCGGTTCCTTTAATTTCATTTTTTTCTTTATCATTTTTCTTTCTTCGCCATCCAATTTACCTTTAAATATAATCCGCTTTAAATATATTGATGACCCATTTGACGTTTCTACCGTTCGATGCTTTGTTTTCTCGTTTTTGCACCTTTATCTTCAAGAGTCTGGATGATTGTTTCTCGATCATCATCTATGCCACTACCTTCATCTACATCATCATCAGCATCAGTTGATCCCGATTAACTGATCAAGGAAACAGTATTAAATAGCTGCTTACAGTGAATCCAAGTTATCTTGCAGATTTTTGTCTCTTTATTATTGACTTGTGTTGTCTTTTTTACCAAAAATGAATTACCAACGAATATTTGTCTTATTCATGGTGACTATGGTTCTGTTCATGGTATTTTGCGTTGACGATTCACATGCAATTAGCAGAAAGATGCGAAGACGAAAAAAGTTGATCGCTGCAACCAAAGCTCTTTTCCTTCCGTACCTGAAAGCAAACATTGCCAAAGGTGGTAAAGTTATTTACAGTGCGCCAACAATTAAGTTTGAGGATGAATTTTACATCGGATGATAATGGTCAACTCATCTATCTTTAATTTTAAGTCATTTGTGAATGTCATTCTTTCCAGCCAAACAATCAACTGTTGATTCAGATGATATTTTTAAAATGTGAATCTCTCCTAATGTATCTTATATTGTATTATAAAAGCAAATCTTGATGCTCTTCTTTTTTTTAATGAATCAAAATCTAGATTTTGATTAAAAAAATATTTTATCCTCACGTTTATCTCATTGTGCTGCCGTTTATTAACGATTCTGGTTATCTTGAAATCGAGAGAAAAAATCTTTTCAAATTTTGTTTTTCTTTCAACTTAATTGTACAAATCTATTACCATGTACCATCTTAATTGTACTATTTCTAATGCTATTACCATCAATTATGAATAAAAGAGATCCCAGTTTTTTGTTCATGTAATTATTATCTTATTATTATTTTCACCATAACTTATTGAAATATCAGAATGAGAAATATAACTTAAAGGTTTATTGACACGAAATTAGTATCAACTGTGAACAGTTTTTACCAACAACAGAAAAATGTCTTCATCTTGCCAAAAGGGTAAAGATTAAGGTTATCAAGGAAAGGCTGAATAAGATGGAAACCCATTTCTGCTAAATTGTTTTAAACCTTTGATTGAATTGTTTTAATGTTGTATTTTGTAAATTGTAAAAAGTGGAAAATGCAATCAACTCATACTTTTGCTATGAGAATCTTCATACTCTTGACGAAATAAAACGAGATAAAATTCATAGATTTGTATTCAAAATTTAATATTAATTTTTATAATTATGTTTGTATGAGTGGAAAATGTTTAACAAAAAAGACAATAATAACAAAATTTGAATGGACTTGGATTGGTGTATGAAAAATTGGGCCAGATTTGGTCAAGATGAGCTGGTGTATGATCTTGTTTTTGTGTGAGAGTGAAACAATGATGAAGAAAAGATAAAAAATTAAATAAATTGTTCAATAGATTAAAAAGTGTCTTGATGAATAATGGATTTGTTTTTCTAATGAAAATGATCATGAAGCAATGATGATTGGTAAAAGCCACGAAAAAAGTTCCGTTTTCTGTCACCGTTTAGATTAGCAGTCAGCTTGTAACATCAACCACAATGACGATTGAATAACTTCCAACATGCTGTGGCAACGCACCTGTATTGGTGATAAAAGGATAAACAATGAGAGTCAAGATGAATCAATGTTAAGTCAGGTTGTTAGTAAGTTAGATTGTCACTTACATTGGAGTAATGATTAAGTTAAAAGAGAAGTACTAATAAAATAATAGCGATTATTAAACATCCTTTGGTAAAATAGGTTAACAGTTTATCCTCTCAAACGATCCAAGGTATAACTGCTTTCCTTGTTTTAGGATAATCCTTGAAAGTTTTAAGGTACCAATGATGATTGAATAAACCGACAATTATTTGGTTGGTAAGCACAAAACCGCAAACCATCCACCATGTTGTACTTCGCCCAGCGAAAACAATACAAATTGAAAAGTAAATAAGAATCTCAGCAAAGTAGTGAGGACAAGAGATGTAATCAAACCATCCTCCTTTCGGTATGGAATGTGAATAGCTGACAACTTGACCTTCAGATTAGAAATGAAATTTTAAAATTAATTTTAGCAATTTAACAGTTTAGTTGAAATTGAGACAAAAAAAAATCAAAACAGTAAGAGCACAAAAATTATCTCGTTAATGATAGTAATCCTGTTCATTGGGAAGATGGCTGCACAATCGTGTGATTGAAGCAATGTTAGTGAGCGGGAGATGAGCACAATTCATATGATGGAAATTAAATTTATGTTTACCTTTGTTATCTTTTCTTAATTCAGCGAGAATTGCATGACTTTGGTATTGTAAAGAGGAAGCCCAAGCAAATAATAGGACTCCTACAATATGGTGCCAAGTGATAAAGTTTCCACTCATGTGGACGTAAGCGGGACCTGGAAATAACATTATAATATCAGTAAGTAATACTTATTTTTACAACACATTGTTCATTGAGCTTTAGACATTTATTGTTTAATAATTCGTATATCTTTTTATTTACCTAAGCTGGCAAAGCCTGGAGCCTCTGTTAAAACTGAGAGACCAACACCAAAATAAAAAGAGAAACCAAAAATGTAATGGACTATGTTCATCTTGGCATCCGAGTAAACACTTAAAAATATACATTCGCACAACCGGCGACTCACTTGGACAATGATTAAAGCCATGGCAATCATCACCGATTCTGGGGTCACTATTGATCAATTGGAAAAAGACAATTTGTTATTCAAATATACACGGATGAGTTATATCAATCTAATGTTCCAGGAATTTTGAACCTATTGACAGCTTACCATTTGACTTTCGGTGAACCCCAACGATCGAGTTTAACAATATTTGAACATATTTAGGTAAACTCGTCTTCAAGAGATATACTTGAAGAACGGAAAAAGCTAGTAATAGATAGAATGTTGTTGCAAACAGGTAAAAGTGGTAGAACCACCTGAAATGACGATGACCAGTTAACGGTAAATAACAGCAAAAAAATGCGAGAAAAGAAAAAGAAGTAAAGATGTCAATTAGAAAAATGGTTCCATTTTGAATTATCACTTGACAATCAAGTCTAATCCATTGGATAGCAAAATGGAAGTCATGAAAATGTCCAGAATAACACTTGTTCACTGCTGTCAATTTTTACCAAGAAAATTTCATTTCTAATTGCGATAGTTATCCAATTTTACCAACAATTTAAAGTTCATTTTTTCCTAACCTCATTCCGAAGAAGCTAGAAGACTTGACTGTTTTAAAGTAAATTTGAAAATAATCAATTAAGGTTCATTTATTTCAAATTTCCGTCAAAGTAATCTATTAATACTTATTGTATGAATAAGGTTTTGATAAACTAAATTGAAATAATTTCTAATACCTTTTAAAATGATTTCTCATGGAAAAGTAAACTTAGCCAATCGGTTTCACAGCAATTGTAATGACTTTTATCATCTATTGGTTAGCATTGAATGAACTTTATCTAAAATTATTGAAACTGTTGTCGTGAAAATGATTTAACTTTTCAATGGTCCAATCTGACTCTCAATGGGACTCCTTGACACTTTAAATAGTTGATTAATTTTTAATTTAGCTTTGAAACTGATTACTCAAACTAAGGAATCAAATTTTCTTTTCAAAATTTCACTCTTTTCACTATTTTAGGTCAACGCTGTTATCAATACTAAGATTTGTAAGTGAAAGTTCTGGCAGCAGAAACGGTTTGATATGTTGTTTGGTTGTAAAATTTAACGGAAAAATTGATAACCTTTTAGGAAGTTCAATTTTATTGCACTTTTTGATTCCTTGAACATGAAGTTCCGCAGCTTTGCCATATTTAAATATCCTTTGAACTCCTTCTGGAACAATGTTGGAATAGTAAATAACAAGTATTCCAATGAGGGAAACACTAGCTGAAAATGATATCCATTCAATCCATAAAAGGTTTTGTGAAACATTTGTTATGGCTTGTGTATTTTCAACAAAAAACACCATCAGAAGAACCATAATCATCACAATTAAAAAGAGAACACGTTGATACTTCATAATTTAACTTGTGAATCAGTTAAATGATTTGGCCAAGTGAAGGAGGGAAAAAAAGCAGACGATAATGATGTGCGAAAGAGCAACCAGAATGAGAGTCACCAAAATAGTGATCACAGGGGTCAACAAGGTAAATTAAATTACCAGATTGTCACTACTGTTGAAACAACAATCAGACAAGGTTCACTATTAACACTACTCCAACTGCCACCACCACCACAATTTTGCAATTGAACAAGAAAACAACAAAGGATCAACAATAAAGTAGCAACGCGTAAAGAAAAATAAACGGACTCGTTTTTTCTCTTTCTTTTCTTTTCTCGTCCTTCTTTCCCTCTCCTCCTGAATATCGTGTAAGTGTGGATCCAGCAAGCAAATATCAATCAGGTAAAGAAAGGAGAAAGACAACAACAACAACAAAAATAATAAACAAACAAACAATAAGAAAAAAGTGAAAACTGAAAAAACTTGGAAAGCTCGGACTACTCAAACTACTGACTATTAAAAAATCTCAAGCTTCGGACAAGTTGTATCCGAAGCAAAAAAACAATTCAAACGATAACAAATTGGTTCACATGTATGGAAACGTATAAATATATTTATATTTAAAGTCAGAAAAAAAGGAACCGGTCAACTTGATTTAACCTGAATTGTAAGTTAAGGGAAAAATGAAAGAGAGGTGATGATGATGGTGATGATGAGAGGAGAGAAGCGACTAACGAAGAGTGAGAGAGATAGAGAATGAATTCAGGTGGACTCACTTTTGTTGCCGTCAAAACCCGTCGATGGGATCATCTATTTATAAAGGTATATATTTCGTGTAATGCAAATCGATTTGATGAAAAAGAAGAGAGTGAGTACAGAATGATTTAAAATAAGATGGCGGAAGTAGATCTTAAAGTATTGGTAAAAGATGATGATGTAGAAAGTTTTGCACTCTCTGCCGTCTCTCATGGTGTCTTTCAGGGTAGCAGGAAAAGCGAGCAGGATAAATTATATTATCGTCATCAGTGTTATCTGAAAAATCTTACAACTTGTCACTGTAATGATTGTCATGTGAATTTAAGAGGAAAAGTTAGTCCAATTATTGATTTTATCAAATCAATGCAACCATTATTCAAATCCTATCATTTTATCCTCATTTTTTGCCATGACAGTTGCTACTTTAACATGTATTGGTCAACAATTTATCAGGTTTTAGTATTTCAAGTATCGCGACTGTATTGCTCTTGTATTACTGTTTCACTGGATGATTGTGGTTCTTGATTCACTTGTATCTTCAAGTAGCCATTGAGTGTTGCGGTTAATATTTTGTGTTGATGATTGCTTGATGCTTGGTGAAATGGTAGTTATTTTTATTGAAAAGTAACCATAAAATTTAAATTTTCATCATTCTCTACATTTCACTTTTTTAACATGTAATTGACGCGGTTCAATATGTATTGGTAATTTTTGAGATCATGGCGAAATTGGCGATTTGTATTAAACACAAATATACAATTTAAACACGTAAACTTGGATAATTTTCAAGCTGTAGCTGGCATTAGAGCGATTGGATTGATTGATGAACAAGCATTTAATGAATTGGCCTGAAAGTCAAGCCGTATATCCAAGATGTGTGTGTGACTGGAATAATTAGACTTAGCTAGACATGCCGAAAGTATCTAAAGAAGAAAAGATTAATGAAAAGCATTCAATGATGACAAATTAATCACTAAATTGAGCATTATTTAATAAGGATGAGAGAAAATTATTTACAGTCAAATGATTTGAGCTGGGAGTTGATTGGAAATTTGTGAATACAAAAACGATATGTACTCTCAGGAAAGACCAAAATTGAGAAATAAACAAGAATCATTTGAAGTTGATGTGATCCTTTGATGTCTTGGAAAGTGTTGAAAAATGAGAACAATTGAATTGAATTATGTTGCATCCATTTGGGTGACTATTTTCCTAACTTTATCCACGATAACATCACACTCTTTGTTCACTTTTACGTCTTTGGTAACTTTGTCGGCAAGATTTTGTAAATAATGTTCAACATTATCAGGATTTACAGTTTCCGTTGTGCCCGGGATTGGAAAATTGGAAAATTGTGCAACAATTAGTGACCTTAACTTTGTTAAATGTTCATCTAAACTTTTGTTAGTTGCTTTTCGTTGCACCGATTCAACCTCCAATTTTTCAATAGCTGCTTTCATGTTTTCTATGTGTTTGGAGAGGATGGCGTTTTGCTCTTCGTAATCTGTATTTACCTTCCTTAATTGTCTTAATTCACTTTCTCGAGCCTTATTGTGGTCTAAAAATTCTTCAGTGAATATGGGAATATCAAGAGGCGATACAATGACGTTTGTTTCACTTGTAGAAAATTCATTGATGTTGTCCCTAACATGGTAAAGGGTTGATGGCGTATCCATATCCTTGAGCATGGGAATTAGGGTAGAAGAATTACGGCAAGCTTTTAGGTCTTGGTAAGTCAAATTTTGTTGATCCATTTTGAGTATTGTAAACAGTGTTGTTTAGAGAGGTTTATTTATCAAATTTTGACTATTAATTAGCAAATTTTAATGGATTAGTTGAGATTTTTCAGGAGGTCATGAAAAACGTGACTTTCACTGAATCACTTACTCACAGGTTGTCGCCATCTATGTTTCTATTTCATCATAACTTTGAGTTGCTCGATCAAAATCTTGAACTTAATCTTTGAAGTTAACTCATGTTGTTGATTTTTATTTCATGTGATTGTTGACTTCAGTAAATCATTTCAAGATTGTTGCCTAGATTTCTTGATATTTCCTTAAATTAATTTCTTCTCATTTTATCAATCATCTGATAATCATGGTTAAAAATTCCCCGCAATTTAGCATAGGAAGATAGATCATAGATGGCGGAAATGTCACTTTTTTTCATGTGCATTCGGTTTTGAATGCAAATCCATTTCAAATTTTGACTGATTTTGTATCAATTAATTTAATCTTTGTAAACAAAGTGAACTTTTGTTTTTAAGTTTCTTTGAATCCTCAGTTTATTTTAATATTGTGATCAGGCATGGATAATTCTTTTGATGCTTCTCTGGATGAAGGTGATGATGCCGAGGAACGGCATCTTCAGATGCTTACTCAACAGTTGGTACAACCTTCGCCCGCTACTCCTCGACAACCATCGCCGACACCACCACGACCCCCTTCACCACAAACACCTCATCAACAATCACCGACTTCACATCAACCTTCACCTGCTCCACATCAGCCATCACCGGCTCCACATCAACCACCGATGACACCCATGACTCCTATGACACCAATCACTCCTAGCTCAACAGATCCTGGAATAGCTCCTCAGTTACAAAATATTGTGTCAACGGTCAACTTAGGCTGTAAATTGGACTTAAAAAAAATAGCATTACAAGCAAGAAATGCTGAATACAATCCTAAACGATTTGCTGCAGTCATCATGAGAATAAGAGAACCTCGAACAACAGCTCTCATCTTCAGTTCGGGTAAAATGGTTTGCACTGGGGCTAAAAGTGAAGAACAATCTCGATTAGCTGCACGTAAATATGCTCGTATTGTTCAAAAATTAGGGTTTGATGTAAGTTTAAAGTGTTTACATAGATACCATATTGTAAATATTGGCTTGACAATATCAAGTTGACTCTATAGTGTCTAAATTCAAGATTTTTAATATATTTGTTCTTTATTTTTCAGGCAAAATTTTTAGATTTCAAAATTCAAAATATGGTCGGCAGCTGTGATGTAAAATTTCCCATTCGTTTAGAAGGTCTGGTTTTAACACACAGTCAGTTCTCTTCTTACGAACCTGAACTTTTTCCTGGTTTAATTTATCGAATGGTCAAACCCAGAATTGTATTGCTTATTTTCGTTTCTGGTAAAGTGGTTTTGACAGGAGCAAAAGTCAGGTCGGAAATTTATGAGGCATTCGACAACATATATCCTATTCTCAAAGGATTCCGAAAACAATGATGTTCACAACTTTACCTTTATATTTTAAAAAATCATTGTGTATATTTATTTGTTTCAACATTCTCAAAACTTGATGTTATGGTTCAAACTTAAACAACAGAACCCGGCATTCATATTTACTAGTATTTACGTAAAATGTCAAATAAACTAAATTGTTTTCAATCAATTAATTGACATCTATTAAATTATAAAGAATAGCTTTTTGCATTTTATTCAGAAAGTTTGATATTTTCGCGAATATTTTTACAATTCGGATAATGATGGAGATTCAAACAATTTTGAGAAAGAAATTAATTGGAATTTATGCAAATTAGTGCAAACAATGCAAACAACCTACAGAGGTTTAGATTGGAGGATCGGAGTATCTTAAATTTTTACACAAAGATGCACAAGTGTTTTTTAGACAATCAAATCACCATGTAAATTTAATAAATACTAGATAGCTTTCATTCAGTTGTTTTAAATCAATGGATATAATGAGTCTCCCTGATCAACAAGTGAAACTCGAAATAGATAGATCTTGATAGGTGATTGTAATCTCGTTAGCGAAAATATAAAGAAAAACTATTTGGTGTAATTTCATCGCCTGAAAAGTAATTGATTTGATTTCCAAGGTCTTTTTAAGTGGCAAATGGTCAGATCCAACAAACATTCACAAAAGGGAAAAATGTATCCGCGACAAATCGATCTTTTACGGAAACTTTTCAGCAAAAAAATGACAACTGGAGAAAAGATAGTCCCGGGGATCCTGAAGTAGTTCATGAAACAAAAATGACTTGATTCCAGTTGACTGTAATCTGGTGTTATTGCTCATATTCAGAGACTTAATAAATACTATAATCACAATTTCATTGCCAAGATGCAGCGATTGGACGAGAAGAAAATCAGAAGTCTATCTTGGGCCTGTAGCTCAATCTGAGTGGTGGATCCTAGATATAGCGAAGCAGAATGAAAAACAAATAGAAATAAAGATGTTAAATTAACAAGTTGTAAGATTTAATAGCTTTTAAACGCGAAATACAACTCACCTTGTATCTCCATCTTGTAACCCATACAAATTTAAGTGTGTGATCTTTACCTAGTAGCTCATCATTACAAAGTATATCAATCTATTAAATGAAAATGATGAAAATTATTATCAAACATGTAAAAATGAACAAACAAAATGGAAAAATTAGAACTTACCTCCTTATATTTTTCGAAATTATTGAAAAGCTTTTTAGCTACAAACTTTTTGAGATGCGTGACAGTAGCGTGAGATGAGCATCTAATATATTTACGTTTCATCTGCTTAAGATTGCAACCACTTTGACTTTCCAGAAGTATGTTAACTTGTTCATCTGATCGGTGATAGTCACTATTCTCTTCATTTGTATTAGATTCATTTTGGTACTTGTAAACGTCTTTATCATTGCTATTAGAATACGAATTTGAATTTGCTTTAGGGTAAGGTAGGCCTCTTTTCCGGTAAAATTCGCGTTCTCTTTTCTGTTCATCTGCAATTAGATAAAAAGAATATGTTTCAGAGACATAATTAGATTAAAAACTTAACAAATAAAGATAAGGTCAAGCTGATAAGACGAACATTTAAAGAAGGTACTTACTCAACTGTAGGTTGGGCACTAATTTGTATACAATATCCTGCATTGTCCGATCGTAAGCGATGTAATTTAATGGATGACTCTGGTGAATGATGAGATGACATGATGGACAGGTATTGCGTTCTTCCAAATGCTTTACAAGACAACTTTTACAAACTGCGAGTAAGTGGAAATGAATGAAATTAAACAAGATAGAATTTAAAAAAGATAAATAACAAAAAACAAATAGAAATTTTACTTACATGTGTGAAGGCATTCAGTTACCGTTGTAGCATCAATAAGATAACCTTTACATATGTTACATGTTATATGAGGATTGAGATATTTAAGACTAATCAGTCTTTCAACCATTTTGCAGTTGATCGGCAGTTTCAGACAATCAACAATCAATGAAGGCCAAACAGCTTTCTTCACAAAGAAGCTCTTTTCAATGAGGGAGTAAAAGTAAAGAGGGAAGAAACTCAGGGCGCGGTTTTTAAATTTGACAGAATCCCTGCAAAAGATTATGAAAGACTGACATTTGTTTGAATTAAAATTCAATTTTTAAATTTTTATTATTTTTCATATAATTTACAACTCATTGCGCTTCCACCGCATCATTCTCGTCATTTAAAACAAAAAATAGTCTGAAAAAGTCCCATGGATTGAGCTTAAAAATTTAATACTTAGTGAAGATTTGAAAGCTAAACAATCAACTTATAAACAGATAAACAACTTTACTGACAATTTAACCTCTCTGAGATCAACTAATTTAACTATTAGTAACTGTTTAGGCTCAGAAAAAATCCAAATTACTGGTGATAGTCCCACCAAAACAACTAGTTACACTTCAAATATGACTGTAAATGGGAACAGTAGCTGTTCTGACACCACCGACTCTTCTAACAATACAATCAATATTGAAAATCATCAAGACAACAGTGATAATTACAACAAAAGTCAAAATAGACCAGAAATTAATGTGACAGAATCATCTCCCGTAACCAAATCATCATTGAACCTGCCATACTCAAGATTTTTCTAATAATTTGAATGGTCATTCAAACAACAGCCACTCTTTAACGGTGATATCAACCACAAACCATATCTCTTCTTGTCCCATCTAGAAATTCAACTCGTTTAGTCTTTCATTAGCATCATCATCCTCATCTGCGGCTGTTGCTCATGGAACTCTACGAATTTTTATTTTTTTCATATAATTTACAACTGATAATAATTGAAAAATAATTTGTTTAACAAGAAAATTGAACAGCTTTGTTGCAAAGGTAAGTAAAAGAAGTGTAATGTTTAAATAGTCATTCAGCGAGGATTAAATGATGCTATAATTATATTTATTACGTTTTTTGCGCTGTGGATGGACCTAAACGAGTCCATATAAAACCACCTTCCCTTGCTGAACAGGCGGGTGCGCCAACTGGATATTCTAATGCTTTGAAATAGTCGGATGGACAGTTGCAAACAAATTTCATACAATCTAATTTTCTGGGAATATCCTCTTCTGGTCCCAATATGTAGGTGGTTGGGTCGAAATAGTCCTTAGGCGAAGCTTTTGTGGGCAATAACCAGGTAATTACCGCACTTTTCTCGCAATACTGATCCTGCAAAAACCCTCTCAACTGAGCATAATATACAGAGCCCATGAAGTCAGTGAGTTCAACAACATCCCCTGATTGATAGAAAAATCCATTGTAATAAACTGCATCACATGTAATCGGAGTAATGACAGATGAAGGAGATTTGTATACCTGTATGAAAACAAAGAAGTTGAATTAGAGTGAATTCACATGAAAAAAGTCCAGTTTTAACATGAAAACAAACATGTTGAAATAAAAAAAATAGCAAATGAATTTACTGATGTACACTCATACATAACGAAAAGATTTTTTCAATAGATACGAAAAGTACGTAAATTCATTTGTTATTTTTACAATCTGTTTTAATTGTTAGATGACTGCATTATTATCACTTACACATTTTTTGAAAATATTTCGTCTTCCTTTGCTTTTCGACGAATTTGATTTCCCTTGATTTGCTTGTTTGAATCTGCTTTTCCGAGTTGATTTTCTAACTTCTGTATTTGTTCGGCCTGAGGTTTCATTGTCACAGTTAACTTTTTCATCGGTTTTTGAGCTCTCAGCATTGGTATCACCTTTATTCCTACTATCTACCTCTTCAGATCTTGTATGATTGGAACCAGATTCCTTAAGAGCCTTTCCTTTTTTCCTACCTTTAAGATTTTTAGCTTTGGAACATAATTTACACAAAACATTGTTGTCCTTATCTTTACACCAAACAATTGATTCTGTAATTGAACACGATGAACAGCAAGGATTCAGACTGGCTTCAATTGGACGATTATTTTTCTCAGATGGTTCATCGCTTGCCACTTGATTCTCCTTTTCTTTGTCTACATTGGTGTCCCTACGAAATGACAAAAAAACAAAAGGTTAGATACAATACAGTGAGAAGTAGATTTTTAAATAAACTTACATATTAATACAATAATATAATATTTCCACAAACAAACAACTTTCTTTGTTACTTTGAGCACTTCGAACCGTTTTGTTGTTTATTTCAATAAAATTTTTGGCATAGCTGCATAACTATCCGCCTTCTCAGTTTATAGCTTACAGTCAGCTCAGCTCTTTGGAAAAAATGTTTTAAAACAATTTTCTTTGAAATATTTGATTCTGATTAACATTGCTAGCTTGAATATCAATCATTCAATTTTTAGATTAGTTAATTGTGTTAATTTTGATTGACATCTCTTTTGTTTGAATGTTTTTATTGTCAAGCTGACTTTGAGCCGAGTGTATAAAGATGAAATTCAACTGACGGCTAGTGTCGCCACCAAGGGGCTTTACATAAGCTTGTAGTTGTAAACAAACATCACTGTTTATCTTTGCATTTTTGCAGTTAATTGTCAATTGATGCTTTTAACAAATCTTTTTTGTTTTCCAATTTCTTAATTGCATTTTATTTTTGAACGTGCAAAGTAATGGCTATCGGAATCCGTATCGAGAAAAGTGACCCGAATGGATCTGGTCAGCAACAGTTGTTCATAACCCGCGGTGGACAAAATCCTGAAGAAATTGTTTTGCCTTATGATGAGACAGCGGCAACTGCTCAAGTCGTTTTCAGCGATATATACCGTCGTACCTTTAACAATGAAGGTATCCAACCACCGCCAGGATCTTCAATTGATATATTAAACGAGTATGAAAATTATGCTGAACAAATGATGACTGGTGTTGGACAAGATTTGAGAAGAATTGCTGCCCAAATTGAAGCCTCAAATGAACGTGAAATCATTCGTCGTCGAGCTCAAACTGTTAATTTAAGGATTGATTCATTTGAGAGATACAGTGCTATGCTCAATGGACTGTTTCCCGATAATCGTATAACTCGAGAAGGAATTGTTGTTCTTTTTTTCTTTTGCTCAGACATTGCTCTTCGGGCTTATGCTTCAAGTCCAATTGCTCATTTCCATCAACTAGTCGGATGGACTCTTAAATTCATATTCAATCATGTTTGCTCATGGGTCAGAAGGCAAGGAGGATGGAATAAGGTTATCTCAAATTTTGTCCAAGGAACAGCAGTAACAGTTTGTGCAATCCTTGGTTCAGTCGCATTTGCGATGTACATCAAGCGAAATCTTTAATGTACATCTGAAAGTTCAACTTCAAATCACAATCCGTTTAAATTAACACTAAATGTCGATTCTCAGTTATCACTCAACAAATCTCATATTCAAGTGACATTAACCTCTCAATGATGATTTTATGCAATCAATCAACTTTTTTTGGTGATAAATTTATTCATGAAAATTGCAACAATGACAGCAACAAAAAGGGATCTCAATTCTAGATTCTCAAGGTCTACTATTCTCTTCCGTAAACTTCTTTCTCTCCATATTTAACTCAATTTTTTTATTTACCTTACAGGTTTTATCTCTGAAGTTAGACAACATCAGCTGACATCGGGACTGTATAATAATATCATTAGTTTAAAAGTCTTTGTTGGTGACCAAACCCTTAAGGATTCATGTAAAGTCTGTTGTCCAACTCATGAGATAAATCCTCTCAAATTTTATCATTTCCTATTGATGGTGATTCAAAATTTACTTTAATCTTTAACATTATCTAAATTAACAACGATTTAACCCTCCGAATCTGCCTAGTTATGCAACAGTTTCTTGTATTGTCTCAAGCATTGCTGTTGATTGATTGATTAACCAACAAAAATATTTACACTTTACCCTTTAATGATGCAAACATTGGACCAAAATTTGGCAATTTAAGTGATTTAACCCAACCTCATGAAGAGGATGAAACCCAAAAATCTAAGGATGAAATTAAAGTCATCTGACTTTAGCTGTCTTCTGATTCAATTTTTTTTTTGTTCACAATTTACATTTTTAATTTGAATAACCTTCACTGCCTAAGACAACATTCAGCCAAACTGAAACCCAATTTTGAACAAAAATTTCCAATAGATCTCGCAGAGGATTCAAAAATCTGGCCTAAACTTCTGATGAACTAAATTTACTCAAATAATAGCCAGTTATTATCAAGCAACAGCAGAAAAATTAATTTCAATTACATATAAAAACTTTGTATCTTTTTATTACATCTCTTTTTTTGTATTCATTCATATTGAATCTTTAAATTCAATAAACTGATTTTATCAATTTAAACCTGTTTCATCAATTACAATGCTATTAATGTTTCCTTGATTAACATCCAAGATTAGCTACAAGAAACCATTGAAAAACAGACAACAAGAAATAACATTTACACTTGAAATACCAGAAATAATCAATGTATTGTCATGTAACGTATAATATGAAACGTGTTACAATATATTATAATACAATCTATAAATATCAAAATAGTCAAGTAAACATTTCATCAACCTCTGGTAAACAGCTTTAATTTTTAGCCTAAACGTAAGTTGATTGTCTAATGATCTAAATTGCCTCAATTCAATATATAACGAATGTTAAGGATGCGTTAAAATAGAATAACAATTTACTGTGAACTTTTGATACAATTAACAGTCAAACCTGGTCTAGTTGTGATATAATGTATCAAATAACCAATATTTGGTGCAAGCAAATTAAAAAACTGCCAACAAAGGCACCAACTGTGGTTATTATTGCCATTAATATTGGCTGAAAATCATGAGTAAAACATTAAACAGGATAAAAAAAAGGTAAATGATTAATGAAAATGATTGTGCAGAAATAAGCTGTTAAACAATATTGGTTAAACAATGAAATTAATGCACATCAATTATACTGGAAAGGCTGAAATTTGAGATTTATCAATTGGATTTTGCTAAACTGATTTTCAATAATGTTGGATGAGTTGATGGGCAAAATTGATTGTTAGACCTGGCCATTGATTTTGAAAAGATTATCAGATGATTTTAAACATCATTTGACACCATAATTAGTACTGACTTAATAGTGATTAATTCATGTTCACGGTAGCTTACGAGATTCATATGCAAACGATATCTGAATATTTGAATGCACACATTTTTTACTCATTAAGATGATTTTTTTATGCTAAATTAAATGTTCAACTGTATAATTAATTTATCACGAGAGGCTTAATTATTTATTTTTTGCATTATAAATGTTTCCATGTGATTAAAATGATTGAAATAATAGACAGTGTTAAAGTGAACCAAATGCAGTCTCATTTCCGTAACTTTGCCAATTGATTTATAAAAAATCATACATTCATTGTTGGTGGGAGCAAATGATTCTGCTGATTCTTGATCATCTTCATCATCATCCAATGATGACGATAAGGATGATTGAGATGATAAAGATGATTGTAATAATAGTTACAGAATTTAATTTATCATTTACCTGTTCATTGTGTTTTGCGTTCAACCCGAATCTGGATTTTGTGCCTGTTTTCACTTTCCTTTCATTGTTTACTCGCCAAAGATGGTTGATTTAAGGACGGAAAGTTCGGTGATCAGAGAGTTTCTGGCTGAATTTTTGGGAACCTTCATTTTAACTGTGAGCATTTTACTTGATAGACTTTACTCCACCACTTCCAACCCATTATCAACCGCTTTAATCCAACACATTCAACTATTAGTAATTGTTTTCCAATTTTAAGCAACTCTTTTCACCAGTTTTGTTTAACATCTTGTTCACCGCTAGAAACCCAGAATCTACCAAATTATTCATCGCTTTTCCAATTGTCATGAAAAGTGGTGAATTTGGTAGGTTCAAGTGATGGAACGTGAAAGTCCCTCTTTTGAAAAATGATGGATATGGTGGAGAAGTCTGTCTTCATATTTCGCATACGTCTCTATAAATGCCTATGAACCTTCATTTTGTTGGTTTAACCAAACTGATGACTTATTTTTTCTGATTAGACATTAGGTTGCTGTGTGAATGCGGCTTCTGCTGTTTCTAAACATGGAGCTATCAGTGGTATGACTGGCCCATGGGGATGGGGATTGGCCCTTACAGCATCAATCTATGTTTCTGGTGGAGTTTCAGGTAAATTTAACGTTTTTGTAAGGTTGTTACTAAAAAGACACAATCAACACAATTGTTGCATTTATGCACAAATTAGCACCAACACTGAAATACAAATGAGCAAAAAGGGGTGAAAATTAGTTTATTTCAAATTTAGACTCTGTATGTTTGTGGAGAAATGAAAAATGAGTACATTTGTGTTTTTTTATAAATTTGTGAAATCGATAGTTTACGAAAAAATTGAGGTGAAAGTTGAAACTTTGATCGCCTTTTATTCAATTATGGAACTAGATTTTTTCGTAAAACTCATTGCTCTAATATAAATTTTGATGAGGAACCTGGAAGTGCACTTATTTTGAGGTCTAACATTTTCTGTTTCCGTAAAACTGGTCAAGTTCGATTTTCTTTCAAACTTGTCGCATTCTGTGACAATAAGAGTAAGAGAGCTGAAACTCAGTATTCGCCCATAAAATTAAATGGTTCATACCATGGATTGAGTACTTTAATCAATTTATTAGTAGTTCTCTTGATTCTGGCCATTGACGTTAAAACTTTGAGCTTCGATATTTAGAGACTGGCATGACTTACAATCATAATTCTTTCACCAATTTAATTATTTATTAACTAGGAATTCAATGCAATTTAATTAATTCCCGTTGGCCCATTTGGGTTATGATATTTGGGTTATAAATGCACGAGAAATAACTAATTCAGCAAACTTAACTCATCTAAACCCATTTCTTGGTAAATAAACCAACTTTCTGGTTAAGATTGCAAATGCAATGCAAAAAGTTCGGTCAAAGGCTCAAACATTTGAGTTAAGAGTTGAGACTAGGTGGGTTTTTAGGGACACATAAAACTACACCCATTGAGGCTATTAAATAATTCATTCGATAAACAGTTTTTGAGAAAATCGAGGTCAAAGTTACAACTTCGATCGCCAATTGCTTAGCTATGAGAGCATCTTTATTCATGAAACTCATTTTGACGATGTAACTTTTGATGCGAAACAAGAAAATGCATTTATTTTGAGATCTAACATTTTCTGTTTCCGTAAAACGGGTTAAGTTCGATTTTCTTTTAAACGTGTCGCATTCTGTGACAATAAGAGTTAGAGAGCTGAAACTCAATATTCATCCATAAA